GTGATTGATAGCAGCATTATGAAATGTGGTTAGCGTTTCTCCATGGGGATATGGATACGAAGATTTACATGTAAGTTCTCGAAGAATTACATGGACTGGTTCAAATAGTTCCAAAACCACAAAACACCCTCTTAACTTGTTTGAGGCATTCACTTACAATCCGACGGATGTGGTATACCTGTCTAAGTGATTATTTGATCGGTCAGAGATATTAATTATGCCCTTGTGTGTTAAACTATGAAGTCTTATTCCAAATTGCTAGGGTTACAGTTTATGTCGTTAACACGAATCTCACTAAGACTCTGGAAGAGCTTAAGAAAATTGCCTCGCACTTGAAGATGGAATTTGAGATGAAGGGTCTTAGGAAAACTCATTTATGCCTTGACCTGAAGTTGAAGCATTGTTCTGACATTATTTTGGTCTACCAGTTGAGATAAACCCTGAATGTGTTACCTTTGATCGTCCATACGTTATATGCAAATGAGACCCTTAAAGAGGTTATGGAATTCGAAATTCCATATCTAAAGTTCAACTTTGCGCTTCGTTATACTTAGATCATTGTATTTAGATAGGACATCTCATTCGCTGTTGATCTTGGTAAAGATGCAGCACCGCGCCTACACGCATCCACTGAATTGGTATTAAAGACGTACCCTGAAGGTACTACATAGGTAAATCCCAACGCATCTTAGCGGATCCAGCCCCCATGATCCTTAAAATGATGCTTGTCTTATTTGTTATGCTGACGCAGGTTACTTATTAAACCCACACAAGGCAAAATCCCCAAACGGTCATGTTTTTACCATTAGGGATATCGCAATAATTCATTCGACTTGAGATTTCATCATTAGTTTAGCCTTCGGCTACGATCATATGGTCTTCGACCATGAGTTTGGCCTTCGGCCACGGTCATATTGGTCTTCGACCATGAATTTTGGGTCTTCGACCTTTGGTCTTGAGCCTTCGGCTCGTATTCGGTCTAGGTCTTCAATCCACGGTCTCATGATCTTCGATCACCAATTTATATAGTAATAGCATGCCCCCTCCCCCCCAATAGTAATTAAAATTCAAGTAATATCAATATTACTAATGAGCATGGATAAGATAAAAATTCTTATCTGTCAACAATCGAGAGTTGTTGTATAATATGTTTCTTTTGATTAGGAGCCTTGAGCGCATGTCATATTCGTCTGCCTTTAATCTGCTCCACAATTCATGTCTTGTCTTCCACGAGTTGTTGCAAAACTTATATTAGTCAATGTTCTTTCCCTTCCTGAGAACATGTTGGGTACCTCATGTAATATGACAACATAGACAATCAGTCACGTAGCAATTCCTTTTTCTATGTCAACCAGTGCATAGTAACAATATATCATGATATGAAATGCCTTATCTCAACTAGACAAAGAGTCAAATGTTAAATAGAGAGTGAATAGAAAGCTTTTCTCTTTGGGGTTTAGCTCGTGCCCCCTTTCCTATTGGCGTCTAATGGCTTTATTAGCTCATTTGGATTAGAATTGTTGGATGGCTCCAAGCCTGAGACCAACAAATCGTCTCATTTTAGACGACAGTGAAGTGGATTGGAACAGCTGCAGATGACAAAGGCTTGTATGTTGCTGGGGATGAGTTGCGACTGCTTCATCCTAATTTCACTTTCAACACTTGCATTGTCAAAGGTTCTTGCCCCCATTCAACTGTTACTATCAACTTGTTCTCTATTAATTGAATTACTTGAAATTTGTGAAGACATTTTAATGGAAATTCTTTTGTAAACATTTTGAAGTGAGCGAATCCCTTTCCTCTTGTGCTACTGCACGAAGTGCAATGACAAAAGGCCTAAATTTCATGAAATTGCAAAAGAAATCATAAAACTTATCTATTTGGGGTCTTTGACTCATTCCCTCATTGTAGCATGAATAACATCCATGAAGCAGCTGCAGAAGATGGAGGCTCGTATGCTGCCGAAGTTGGTTGGTGCAACGTTTGACTTTGAATCATTACTTTATACAAGGACTCTGAATTGATAACAACGATTAGTATTGTTGATATTTAATTCGGATAATATTATTATCATCAAGTGTTAATTTTAATTTCTTGCTGATAAATACTACATAAAGAAGCAAATAAGTTCTTATCTTCTTGTTTGCATGGTACAAGACGTGCCCCAAAATTCTTGGCTAGTCTCACGTCTAGCAGCCATTATGCATTTCTGATTTTCTTCCTTCAACGCTCAAATTGTTGAAGATCCTTTCCCCCATTACATTCCATCCTACGCCATTTGCGAAGTGGCCACTCGTCAATTCGTAAAATCATAATGGAGGAAAAAAATCTCGTTGTTTGGGGTTTTAATTCTGCCCCCATTGTAGCTTGGATGGCGTCACGACTTCTCTATACGGCTTTTTGTACATTTCCCACAGACGACGCCAATTGTTGGAGCGGAAAATTTCAGATACTCCAATTCTCCGCCAACAAGTAATTTTGAACACGTTGAAAAGCCTTGGACTTTATCTTCGCTTGTCAACAATGAAAGCGAGGGGACCTGCAACAAAACACTCCGACGCTCAAGTCAGTCGTTGTTCAAAATAATTGCAAGACATTGTAAAGCTATCTGATACTTCCCTTTTCTTTGCATGATGATGGGATTATTGCCCTTTTATAGGCATTCAAGTCTTGGGCTCCAAGTTCCACTCTCCTTCTATTTCTCCATGTTTCATGTAGTGGGTATTATGTTGCTTCATTGTAGCTCCACTCCTCATGTTTGGTGTGCTAGTGGCTTATTTAGTGGAGGAATCATTTTTGGCTCCCACAGTTATGCTGACGCAGGTTACTTATTAAACCCACACAAGGCAAAATCCCCAAACGGTCATGTTTTTACCATTAGGGATATCGCAATATCTTGTAGGTCCATGATATGACCTTAGTTGTGAAATCTTCAAATCATTCCAAGACTCACCTTACTACACTATGCCACAAGTGAACATGGTTAGGAGTTCTTGTTGAGCATATTTGAAGTACTTGTTATGTTTTCATCCATCGTTGAGTCTCAACGATGATCCATGAAGATTATGCCACATGCATCAACCCGACCAAGCCATGATACATCAACGAAGTCAACACTAAAACATATTGCGTCCATATCTACATCAGCAAAGCATCATGAGATTAAAGTCATGCAAGCCGATTCTAGACAACCTTGCCGACCTCTACACGATGTCACTGCCGAAGTCAACCTTCCAGAAGCTTGTCCGAGGAATTGGTATGCCTAACTATTCATATGCAATGCTTGTAGTTCTCATTTGGAAGTTATGTCAAATTCAGAGGGAGTATCTAGAAGTATACTCACTTGATCTTAATGTACTTGTTTTCCCTACGATTAGGAGTATTTTTCCCACTGGGTTTTTGCTACCTAACTAGGTTTTAACAAGGCACCCATCCTGGGCTGATCATACCCTTGTGAGCTCTTTTACTTGCGTCCAAACGACGTATAGTTTTGACTTAATGCAACTTCTCACGTTTCTCCTTAGACTATAGGTTTTTCCGCACCTTGGGTTTTACCATAGCGAGGTTTTGTGAGTTTGACCTTTTTATGCATTCTTCCGTTGATATGAGACTCGCATTCGCTCATTGAGCCGACGACTTCATCAACTGTACTTGCTTCTTCACTGAAGACCTGATGCGCCATTTACTTGAGTATTTACACACTCAAGGGGGAGTGTTGCAGTCTTCTTAGAATAAGAATGTGATTGTGTAAATCCTAGTAGATATGGGAATGTATCTTATATTCTTATTAGGATTAGATTACCTATTAAATGTTGTAATCCTAAAGGGTAAGGAATTAACCTTTCCTACTACTATAAATAAAGGCACAATGAGTTGAAATAATACACACCCACAATTACACATCTCTCTCATTCTCTCTACCTATTGCTGCACCCCTCTCTCTAAGGCCTCCATAATTGTTCAGTAAATTATGTCTACAACAAATTTTTTATTTTAAATTATTAATTAATTAATACAAGAATATATGAGTAATATTGCATTTTCTCTTTGGGATGAACTCATTTATCTACTTTCTAATAATGTATCTTCATTGTAGAATTTTCTAATCGAACAATAAAACTTTGCAAGTGGCCCTTTACCATAGTGGTGGAAATGTGTGAGCCCTTGCATGACAGCGTGAGTTCAAACCCCGTCGGTGACTAATCTAACATCTAATCTAACAAAATTTATCGTTTGACAAAAAAAATAAAAATAAAATATAAAACTTTTTAATATTTTTTTCAAGATCATCTATATAAAAAAAATCATTCAAATCGAAGATCATTTAGTCATCAAAATGTATCAATTCAAAGATATAGATACCGAGTAACATATTCATAATGAACTGCTAATTTAATTAAAGTTTGATTAGTGGTTATCAAGGGGCCCTTTAAAATACAACTAGGAACAATCGGTTAGGTCAACACACTGAAGTTGAGGGTAAAAAGGCTCCAGCATGAATGATGAGGCCAACCAACCCAAGAGAGCTCTGCCTTGTCGTTGCAGTCAATCTCTAGCGGACGCAACCTCAAATCTTTCTTCATTCCAAAGGTTGAAGCTTTAGCGTGTCGCTTTGCATTGAACCATTTTCTACTTAATTATTGTTTAGGTGGTGAAGTGAATTGTGTTTATACTGTTTTTGCATCATTAGAGTATATTCCATAGATATAGCTTTTATTCAATTAGGGCGAATGCCTTCTGCTATTTATTCTCAAATTAGGGATGACCACTCGACTTAGGGTTAGTTTGGTATTGCTGTGCTTAAAAAAAAAAAAAACTGCTTTTGCTATGCTGTGAGAATAAGCTCATCAGTTTTTTTTTTTTTTTTTTTTTTTTTTTTTTTTTTCACTCAAAACTGTGAAAATAAGCTGTTTTTAATTGTTTATCAAACACATTTTTGAGCTGATATGTCTTCAAACGAAGTAAATGAAAAGGAAACATGTAATGATAATCAGAAAGACTTGAGGAAGAAGAATTTAGACATTGCTGCTTCAATTAGATTCTATTATTAATTCTTATGTACACAAAATATGAATGAATTTTATGACGTCACAGTCGGATTAACTAATGTAAGTATAGGTTTTAAATTTCTACATATCTACAACTTACTGCTCCTGAGCTGTCTAACTTTGTTTTTCACAAGTTGTTTGGATCTGTGGCGGCATCTGAACCCTCGAATTTGCAGTCCGTTCGTAATGCTGACAACCACGAGTCCACCTGAAAAAACAGAGGGAAGTTAATCGTATGATTGATTATACGCAATGAGACAATTTGGATCTAAGAAACGAAAGCAAGAAATCAACATAGAATGCAGGCATAGCTTTAAGAACACTACACCACAAAACAAAAATAGCTCGCTTACCTGTTCCTTAGAAGCGCTTGAGCACTCGAATCGCAGTCCTTGACGAGTTAATATACGAAATGCATGTCGAGTTCCTTCATCGTCTCGTGTAATGCTTGGCAAGGGGCCTATTTCAACAATATCAGCTAATAGGGTGGAGTCTTGAGGACTCAAATCTGGAACAAGAAAGAGCCCATCGGTCAGAATATGTTCAAGTCCGTATGGGGAGAATGGCGCTAGGACGTCAGGGGATAATGATTCATTGAATATTTACCTGTGGAAAACAAGAAGAAGAAAATGCACGGCCCTTGCAAGACAACAAAGCGAGGAAGCCAGTCATCAATGTCAGTATCATCAAGAGGGGGAGGTTCTCCTGGTAGTGGTTTCCACCTCTATCAAATCGAAAAGAGAAAGTGTAAGCAAACCGTAATTGGCATTATGCAATATGCACTAAATACATGCTCAAAGTAAAAAAATTGACTTGGGGTCATCATTACAGTTCGGATGTACAAATAGCCAGCGAGACGAGCAGATCGCAAAACTTCATCAACGTGTTCCAATCTGCATAAAACATAAGCAGTTCATGATTGATATGACGAGGACAGAATTTCAGTTCAAAGCCTATCCTAAAAGGGAAACAAATTCTGGTCCAATACCACAAAGTAGTACAAGACCTCAGTTAAAAACTGAAAAAAGTTCAAAAGCATTATAAGTGGCACTATCATGTAGCGTGCAAAGACGCAAATCACATTTTAATGTTTAAAGTATCAAGTTCCCTTACTGAGCTTTCAAGTGCGCTTCCTTCTGTTCTAAATCAGCAAGCTCCGATCGAAGTGATTCTAGTTCTACAGCAGTTAGCTCAACCTGAACAATTCTAGCGGTTAGGAACGTGGAAATTTCAGAAGACTCAATTGAGGAACTGAAAGAGATACTGAATCAACCTTTTCTTCGCCATCTGTGCTAGACCCCCATGGCAGTCCGCGGAGACTAAAGAAGTTCAATTTCAACATGTATGCTGCACTTCTTAATTTTCTCCTACTCCACAAGCGAGACCTATGCTATACCAGATTAAGTAAAGTGAATTAAAATCATACAATCTTTTAATTTGAATGACAAAACTCCTTGATTTTTTCTTTTGTTCTTTTATTTTCTCCAAAGAAAAAGAAATACCTTGGATAATTATCAGTTCTTGGTCGCGAGATAGATGAAGCTATGTCCTGAGAAGAGTCGATATTGGGTTCGGATGCTTTAAAATGATCTCCTATGATCTTTATATTTCCAAGACGATCATCCATGAAGCTTAATTACACTTGTAGAAGCGAGTGCAAACCTACGTTCATACCATGTTAATGAGAATCGATAATCAATACGTATAGAATAACAAACTGTAAATTATCATACAACAACTTATTCATCCAACCACATCATCATATACGTACATAGGTTCTATGAAGACCAATTGCAGAGAAATATGGTTGTGGATCTCATGTAATTAACTATGCTGTGAAATGGGAATCCTAGTTTTCGATCATAGAGGCTAGAAATAAGTTATGTTGCTGATCTATCAGTAATTTAGTATTGGGATACAACTCAGCCCGAATCAACAACGCCTCATAAAAATTTAACACCTACTTGGAATCAAAAAACAAATCTTTCCTTCGCCTTCTGATCCGGCATCAACCTTACCAACAGGAAACAGCTATGCTCTTGCACTTCTAATACAATCACCCAAAAAGCTGTTCTCATCGCTCAAACTAAATTACATGAGATCCACCAAAAGCTGAGACATCAAAACATTGGGGAAAAGAACAAGCAGCAAAACATACATGATTTAAAGGGCAGAAGAACACAAACAACCCCGAATCTGCTAATTTGCATACATTAATTCTAATTAAAAGAAGCTTCATAATCCAAATAAATCTAATCAAAATTCCTCAAAAATACACAAGATTAAAACTTACATGAATTTCATACAGCACACCACCAAGCAAATTGCAGCATAAAAACAAAGAAATACTTTGGACAGAGATAAAGGATTAAATTAAGTTATTAAATAAACTAAAAGAGATGGGGAGAGAGATGGAACCGTGCCCGTACAAGGAAAGAGAGAGTTACAGGAACACAAGGTAGCTGATGGGAGTGGGGAAGGAGGGTCCTTGTGTTCATGGGAAAACGTTTGACGCCATTCGATGTTGACTATTTGGTATAAGTAGTTCAGCTTTAGATGTGATATGACTCTTTTACCCCCGTCGAGACCATTTTCCACTTGGTTACGTATGAGGGAATTTTGCGTGCTTATATTGTTTTTTATATTTATTTATTTTTTCCCTTGAATTGCTAATTGGTTAGATAAACACAACCTTAATGATGATTATGCCCCAAACTTTGTAATTATAATGTCTCAGTTGTGATTATCCACCAAGCGGTTGTTGGATATTTTCTTGTATATTCGATAATCAAATCCCAAGCATTTGTTATTTTTTTTTCTTCCATGAGATCCATTATTTATTGTATTCGCTTGTGCTTGAACTGCTCAGTATGATGTTAGACTCGTTTGGAAATATTTTTAAAATGATTAAAAGTGTTCATAAAGGAAATGTTTTCGAGTTTCAAAAATATTTGAAGTGCTTTTAGGATTCACTTGCATGTTTACTAAGAATATGTTCTAAAAATATTTTCATAAAATACGCTTTTAATCGTTTTAAATGCATTTCCATGCGAGCCGGTTATGTTGCTGAAATATCAATTATAAAACGTTGATTATTTTAAAATTAATATGTGTTAATTAGTAAACAAGAAATAATGAAATCATTTGGAGGCCTCACTCACAACCATCGAGATTGGATGGCACATTGGACTCCACCACTGCAGAGCATCTATACACTTTACACGACCTCTTCGCACTAACTTCTTCCACTGCATCAACTACGAAGAAGCGCTGGCTATCACCAATTTGGTAACGTAACATCACCAAAATGATGACGAAACATCACCAAGATGATGATGAAGCCATAGGTAATATACTAAATTTATCCTTCAAGTCATGAGAAGAGATCTTCTCCGGTTCTTTTCCACTAAGATCACTAGATCAAGTGAACCAAGCTTTTGAAATTTCATTCAACGACTCACTTGTTTTAACCCTTTAAAAACTATAATAATTTTTTACCATTCGATGAAATTTCAAAGATCCGAATAACTTGATTCGATGACCTTAGTGGATATACTAAGGTTCAACTCCGGATCTCTTCTCCCAAGTCATACTCTCCTCACTTGGTTCAACTCCATTATTATCCAATCAGGTTAGCCTTGGTTCTTTGGACCACATATTTTTTTGGGTTTGAATTTTATTGGATAATATCTACGAAGTCCAAGCCCAAGTGTTATGACCGTACCTTACTAGCCTCTGCATGAGGAAACTTTCCTATTACCAGTTGAATATAATCATATTACTGGCATTATCCTTATGACACCTCTAAAAAAATGTATGGCGCCCCTGCATTTCATCCTAATCGACCTCACAGTCTCACAGCGATATGAGCGTTACCCCTTCTATCAGACTTATAAATCTTCTCTTAACATAGGACTATTCACGTAACGAGAAAAATATCATCCACAAGAGTCAAACCTAAGATCTCATACAGTTCTATTTACATAATGAGAAGAATACTTTTAAATCGTAATGTTATTGTGAGTGAAAATGTGTGCACATTAAACATTTAATACCCTTCCAAATTTCCAATGTATGAATAAGTTTGGCACGGCACGTGTGGGTTTTTATCGCAGATGAAAATCAACATCAATATGGTTGGGAAAGATAGGATCGCAGCAAAATAAGCCAACAGGGGTCACTTTGTGGCCACAAATTATAAACGTACATACGTTTCTTTACCCCTCTCTCCTCTCTCTCTCTCTCTCTCTCTCTCTCTCTCTCAGTTGATTGAAGCTGTAAAACAATGGCTTCTAGCATCACTCTTCCAAGCTTTCAAGGCCCTCTTCTCAAATCCAATTTTCTTGGAAGAAATGATCTCTCGAATCGAGCTCATAAATCGTCTTTCGCAGTTCACAAGCAGCCATCGACGCACTCCCTGAGACCCTTTGCCAAATTTAACCTATCCGAAATCTTGGGAGGCAGGGGGCTCTGCAATGGTGAAGCAGGTCTACTGCAAGAGCTTACGAGAAATGTCGAAGAACAGAAAAATGTCGAAGAAGAACAAGTATCAGCAGCAGTTGCCGCCAAAACAGAGGAAGAAAAACCAGATAGTTCTGCAACAGCTGCGATCAAAAGTGTTGAAGAAGATGGTTTTGATAAGGAGCTGATGGGACTTACCGGTGGATTTCCTGGTGGTGAAAAGGGGTTGCGAAAGTTCATTGAGAAAAACCCACCTCCCAAGAAGTCGTCGATTGCACTTTCCGGATCAACAGCTGCACTTGTGAGCACAAAGAAGCCGAAAGCACCTGAACTGCCATTGTTACTACCTGGTATGATTGCCATTGTCAACAACCCAAATAGTCCTTACTACATGTACTGTGGCATTGTTCAGCGAATCACCGATGGGAAAGCTGGGGTTCTCTTTGAGGGCGGGAATTGGGACAGGCTGATTACTTTCCGACTGGGAGAGCTCATGCGCAGAGACAAGGGCCCTCCAGGGAAAAATCCCAAATCCTGCGTCCTCGAACCTTTTCTCCAGACGGATTCCTGAATGGGGCCATTCTCTTAGTTTCTCTAACGCATGCATATGTATTTAAATTCGAAATGTGCAGTACTGAAATTCGTAGCTTAAATGGCAATTACTTTCATTGACAATTGCATGAACCAGGGAAAACACATCTTATAACACATGTTTATTGTTCAATGTGTTGTCTATTACCATTGACTTCAGCAAATAGGTTGTTCTTCAAACAATATAAAGACGTCAAACTCTGGATACTTCCAGGTGCTTAAAAATTGTCAAAATAACATCCAACACATAGTCCTATGTTCTTGAAGCTCCACACAAGTTCAGATGATGCCACCCAACTGCCAAAAGATGGTTACAACATTTAAGTAATGAATTGCAAGCCTAAAGGAAAGAGAGACAATAAAATTAATTTCATGCTTCATCATAAACCTTATAAAAATCTTGACGTTAGTGGTTCAAAATGGACTAGTACCCACCCCAAACTGATCAAGATCAGATGTTTAGTTCAGACATTCGATACCTCATAACAAAACGTGAACATCAAGCAACAAATACTCTAGCTACTTAACGTGAGAACAAGAAATTATACTTATTTACTCCCCCTGACAATGTTTATTTTCAGCCATCATACATGTGGAAAGCCCAAATATCATCCAAAACTGGTCCACAAACTCAGATGCAGATTAACTTATAACTTCTCTGCATGAAATTTTTAACTTCTAAATGGTTTACATGAATATAGCCTACCGCACTATTTTGTGAGCAATATCTAGTCAGAATTCCGGTTTCATTGCCTTATGACTCACACATCAAATGAATCACCATCCATTGTGTAGGCTTTCAGGCGAACAGAACTCACCTATTAAACGGTGAGGAGGAATTTCCTCCTCACTACTGGCTCGACATAAATTTATTTGCATGAATTGGGAAAAAGGGTGACTCCCACCACTTGCACCAATTCATTCGAATAAATATACGCCACATTGGTAGCCAGTCAATAGGTAATCATTATTGTTTTTCACCAAGCTGATTTTTTTTCTATGATTAGTAAAGAATAATGATTACAAATCACGTGACAAAGGGAGCACTTAAGGCTGAAGAATTCATTGCAGGGATAGTTGATATATCAAATCAATAGTGTAGAAATTTTCACAGCAAAAGCACAAGTTCCACATACCATAATGGCCTCAATCTCCTCTTTGGACAACGGTGTTCGTTCGGGTTGTTCAGAAGCTTTTCCTCCCAAGGTGGTTGACGCCCTTGAACCTGAGAAGAAAGTGTGAGAAGAATCACCAGCCAAACCTTGAGTCTGAGGCTCAGTACCTGCAAGCAAACAATTACAAGTGTTAAACAGAAACAAAAAGTGTTAAAACGGAAACAAATTATGACCCAACAAAAAAGATTACGTGACTACCAGCATGAGGGCAAACAGTGAATGAACTTCTGATATTTTTCAACAAATGACTGCATGTTATCTCTCTAACACTAGGGATTTCCCCCTTGTTTCACCTATTTATCGACGCATCAGCAAGAAACTGCCTAACAGACTAAAGATCAAGCTACTACGAACAAATTGGATGTTGGATGCTGCATTACCACCACCACCACCCCCAACCTCAGAAAGTATAATTCAAGACCTTAAACATTCTAGAACCAGCAGAAATTCAAAACGTGTATTCATAAACTCCCCAAGTGGCATCGTCAATGTCAGTGTCATAATCATAATCTAAATGAAATAACTTCCTAATGGGATTTTAGCACTACCCTAACCCTAACCCTTAATTCAGCATTTGCCCGATGCAGCCAAGCTGAACTGTTTCATGAACTCAAGCTCAAACAAGCAGAAAATTCAATCGAAAAATCGAGCCAGCCAATCTTAACAAACCATCCAATTGAAATCACACAGTAGTTTACAAAATTACGCCTTTTTATGACATCAGAAATCCAATCTATGCTTCAATTTAAATACAGAGAACGATAGATTTCTAAATTTACAAGAAACGCACACAAATTTGGGAAATTCAAGAGAAACCCATTAAATTAGAGCATAAATACAGCTTAAATTCAAACAAATACGAACATGCATAAATAATTAAAGTTAAGAAAGATTAAGATCGAAACAATGGTTTGAGAAAAGGAAAAGAGAGACGGACCAGAAGGTTTGGGGTGTCTCTGAGGAAACTTGATGCGAGGTATCCTCTTCATCGCCTGGGCTCCACCCATTTCTCTCTCTCTCTCTCTCTCTCTTCTGTATTACCAGTTCCTCCGGAGACGACGAATGAAAAAAGGAGCGAGAATCTTCCACCAGCGATTTGTTTGACAACTCGGGGATGAACAAAAGCTGCGTATAAAGGTCAATTGTTTCAAGGGTGCGGGTTGCCGGGTCGGAACTCAAATCTAAATCGTTATCCACACTTCCAAAAACTAGGTTGGGCTTGTTATCAAGTTCGGATTCAACTTGGCTACACGATGGATGATAAATCAAATTGTCGTCAATATGAAATAAACAAGCTAATTAATATTTAAGTAATAATTTAATCGTTAACATTCACATGATTTAGTTTATAAAATTTAGTTTAGAAATTTGGTCACTATTATGCTTTGCAAATATACGTGAAGGTAAAAGAAGTACTCCCGCAAATGGAAGAAACTAATGGCAGACACAAGGTGAGTTTTGCCAATTATGGGGGAATGCCTTAGCTATCTTGAGATTACATATCAACTTAAGAAGAAAGAAAAAGTAATTTGCTTTGTAATGCATAGTGACTAATGCACTAAACTTCATAAATTATCTCTTATGATTAGTAATATTTTAAGGTATATAGAAAGATTGGAGTTCTTTCCACAAATACGTTAAATGTGGGGGAGTGTACCCAAGTGTTAGAGCAACTCCACCCATGGTGGTTGCTCGGGGGACAGGCTTTAGGAAAGGGCCCGAGGGCCAGTGGGAAGAGGTCCAGCGTTGGAGGGCCCAAGTGAGGGTGGGAGCCCGAGTTGCAGGCCCGTGGAAAATTGACAGGCCTGGTGCCCGAGGCCTGTGACGTCAGGTTGACGCAAGGCCTGGGTCCAGCCTTTTTTTTTATTTTTTTTGTGTTAGGCGCGTGCCCCTCACTCGCGAGTGGGGACGCGTCGCCCGACCAGATTTCAGGGCACAGGCCCGCACGGGGTAGAAAACCCAGTGACCGTTGGGAAGCCATGTGGCTTCCCACGGTCCGTTCGATCCCAACGACTCTTTAATACGAGTCGTCCGATTTGCAACGGTAATAAAAAAAAAGCTGATTTTATATCAACCGTTTGATCTGAGATCAACGGTTGATATTAATCTGCTTTATAAATTAAAAAAATAGTTTTAAAATTAAGAAAAGTTACCGTTGTGACACGTGGCACAATCTGGAGTGTTGGAATTCAAAAATTTTAAAATCCAACGGCAGAGATTAATTATTTGAATAAAAATTTAAAAAACATTGTAAAAAATCCGAAAAAATTGTAAAAAATCTGAAATTTTTTTGTAAAAAATTGTTTTTACTTTTCTATAAAAACCACTTCTTCTCCATCTACCTTACACCACAATTTCATATTTTCTCAACTACTTTCAATCAAATTCCTATCTTTCTCTCAAAGTTTCAATCCAATTTTTTTTTCCACAAAATGACTACTGATGCAGGTACGAATTGGTCGCTTCTTGAAGATGTTGTGTTGTGCACTAGCTGGGTTGAAGTTACTCATAATTCCCTTACGGGTAATGAGATGCAGTTGCGAGAAATGTGGAGTTTAATTCATACCAAATTTCTTGAGCAAATAGATGGGAAAAGAACCAAAGAATCGATGTCCAGTCGTTGGAAAATACTTTGCCATTCCTTTAGTACGTGGAGAGATGCCTTGACACAAGCTAGTAGTAATGTTCGAAGTGGGGCAAATTATGCGGATGAGGTAAGAATATATTATAATTATTTGTTTGTATTATTATTATGTTACCTAATTTGATTATAATTATTTGTTTGTATTATTTATTTGTTACCTAATTTGATTATAATGATTTGTTTGTATTATTTATTTGTGACCTAATTTCATTATTATTATTTGTTTGTATTATTTATTTGTTACCTAATAATTTCATTAGTATTATTTGTTTGTATTATTTATTTGTGACCTAATTTCATTATTATTATTTGTTTGTATTATTTATTTGTTACCTAATAATTTCATTAGTATTATTTGTTTGTATTATTTATTTGTGACCTAATTTCATTAGTATTATTTGTTTGTATTATTTATTTGTGACCAAATTTCATTATTATTATTTGTTTGTATTATTTATTTGTTACCTAATAATTTCATTAGTATTATTTGTTTGTATTATTTATTTGTGACCTAATTTCATTATTATTATTTGTTTGTATTATTTATTTGTTACCTAATAATTTCATTATTATTATTTGTTTGTATTATTTATTTGTGACCTAATAATTTCATTATTATTATTTGTTTGTATTATTTATTTGTTACCTAATAATTTCATTATTATTCAAAGTTGTATCATTCAATTGGTGGGAATGTTGGAATATTGTTAAAGATTGTCTAAATTCAAAGTTGTGCCTGTTGGTCCAGAAGTATGCATGAACAGCACCCCTCTACACAGCACCCCTCCACACTCTACACTCGATCATGGCTCCCATGTTGATGAAGAAGATGGAGAAGAAGTGCCTGAAATGCCCATTCCTGAACAAGCGTCTGGGTCGACCCGTTATCCAATTAGGTCTCAAGGTAAGAAGGCTTCAAAGAGGAAAGGGAGTGCTTCCAAGAATGATTATGGAAAGTACATGCAAGAACTTGCTCATCAAGGTGAATTGACGTTGGCGTGAGAATTGGCGAAATATGAGGCTGAAAAGGTTAGAGATGAGGCAAAAGCTGCAGCTATTCAACAAGTATTTCAAGCTGAACAGAGGGAAAGTGAGCTACTTAGCTTGAAGACATCGAACATTCTGGCAGCACCCTTGACGATCGCCCAACGAGCTTGAAGGATACCAAAACAACGCTCCACATCCTTCCTGCACCCCTCTTAACAGCTTGCAAAGTGTTTTTCCTTTGCACTTCGGGGACGTGGCACTGTTTTGACAAATGTTTCCCACCGTGGGTAAATGCCGTCAGCTAGGTAGTATGGCCCGTTGTACCTACGTCCGTTGACGACGTACGTGACTTTTGGTGCCTTTCCTTGCAGGACGTCGTTGAACACTGGGGATTGGGCAAGGACGTTGAGATCATTTTGAGCTCCCGGAACCCCAAAAAAGGCGTGCCATATCCATGTATCAAAAGATGCCACTGCCTCCAAAATGATATATTTTGCTCATTTTCTGTCCCCATATGCGCATTGCCATGCACTTGGACAGTTTTTCCGCTTCCAGTGCATACAATCAATGCTTCCTATCATCCCAGGAAAACCTCGCATCTCACCCTTCTTCAGAAGCCTTTGCAAGTCCATGTGAGTAGGTTTTCGGAGGTACTCTGCGGTGTACAAAGATTCGACTACTCCGCAAAACCTCATCAGGGCCTCAAGAATGGTTGATTTCCCCATCCTCGTTATCTCATCCACTTGGTCTGCAGATGCTCTATACGCAAGCATTCGCAACACAACAATGATTTTTTTGCTCAGGCAGGAGACCCATAACACCACAAGCATCATTCTTTTGCACAAAGTAAGAATCATGGTTGCAAACATCAGTCATGATTCTGTTGAACAAATGTCGTTCCATTCTAAAACGGCGTCTGAAGTACGTATCAGGAAATGCACTGTTATTGACAAAGTAATCGTCCAACATCTATTCACCCCGTCGTTGCCTGCTTCTATCAAGGTTTCTTGAACGGCTGGGCCTGCATATCTGAGTAACAGTCTGGATGACTCGACGGGAATGTGAGGCTCTGGCCATTCTTGTTTCGTCATCTTTCCTTGTACGCTCCTCATCCTCTTCCATCTCATTTTCGGCTATCTGAAGGTTGAACATTCCTTCAGATTGGTTAAACAATTCTTTCTCTTGCTGATCGATTTCCCACATCATCCTTGATGAAGAAGAAGACATTGTAAGGATGGATGGTGAAGAAGAAGCAGAAACTATGAATAATGAGATAGAAATGTTGAGAAAATTGGTGTGAGATTTGTGAGGATGGATGGTGGATTAAATGGACGATTCAGAAATGATTGGATTGTAGATAAAGCCACGTGGCATGCCGTCATTCGTTAAAAATATGATCGAAATCTATCCTCAAAGATTCTGAAAAGATAATGACACATGGCACGATCGTATTGGATAAAAATCTTATCGAAATCGATCTCCAATAATTATCTTTTCGGATAATGACACGTGGCGTAATTTTGAACGATTTAAACTCCACCAGATTCTATCGTCAATGATTCTCAAAAGATAACGACACGTGGCACAATGACATTGGATAAAAATCTTATCGAAATCCATCGCTAAATAATTGTTTTTTTTATAAAATGACATGTGGCGCAACGAGAACGATTTAAAAATTTTTATCCGAAATTACAAATAATTTTATTTTGTATTATTTAAACAAACAAAAAAACTAATATTTTATTGCTTATTGCCAGGGGGAGGGCTCCAAGGGTGGAGATGCAAATGACAATTACTGTTCATTAGAGGTAGTTACTATTCATTAAAGGTAGTTACTGTTTAATAGGGTGAATTCAATACTGGATTGCTAGGGGGAGGGCTCCATGGGTGGAGTTGCTCTTAGTAAAGCAAATTATTTAGTAAGTTTGAACATATGTTTCAAGGAGCATATGTATCAAGGATTTAATGTGGGAAAACAACTACTCTCGAATGAAATATAATTTCATAACATACCATAAGAAACAGTCAACCTAAGGGATCCAATTATTAAAAGATTGATTAAAGAGTAAGTTATATCATCGAGGGTAATGAGTTAAAAGCCCGTAATCAGAGTAGTCATAGTGGAAACCCAACTTAGTTGACTGGAGATTCCAAAATCTAGGCTCAAAAGAGACAACTAAATTATGAAAACTCAGAGTAGCACTGTGGAGATATACTCTCTTACCTATGTCCCATGTTATACTAGTGCTGCCTACCATTAAGATTAGGTTAAACTTTATGTTTTAATGATTCCTATAACTTGAAAGACTTAGAAGTCCAGGTGGAATATTGCAAGAGTCACCTATCTTGAGTGATCGATGGGGTCCTTCCTACGAGAATTTTGTAAAGGGCTTATGTGAAATCCCGTCTCTTAATTTCATTATTTAATTACATATTTTATATTTAAGTCATTTTATTTGTATTTTTGTTTTCATTAATTTTAGAGTTTTAACTATTTAGTTACAAAGTTTGAACTTTCGTAAATAATCATTTAAAATCCGTAAACCTTTTGGGGTCACA